TGATTTTTATTACCCTTGTTCTGCTAGTAATAGAGTGTGGAAAGGAACTATGTCATACTGTCTTTAAATTACAAGAAATCTTTGTTTACCTGTCATCTGCGGCTAAGAACTTGTTTTTATAAAGTATAAGAAATAGGAACTTGGTTTTAAAAGGTTCCTGAGAATCTCATCTGTCTTGTGTTCTCAGCATCATGCTCTAAATTTCCTTTCTTGTTTTGCAAAGTCAAAGGATACACATAATGCTCCAGGCTAGAAACCAGGAGACTGAGTTCTAGTCCCACCTTAGGCATGAAAGCCAGCTGGGTGACTTTGCGTGAGTCACTCTCTCTCAGCCCAACTCACCTCCCAGGGATGTTGTTGTGGGGAAAATAGGACGAGGAAGGAGTATTAGGTATGTTTGCTGCCTTGAGTTATTTATAAAAATAAGAAAGTTGGTATTAAAAAAAAATCTAAAAAAATCTAATAACACTGCCTGTATTTTAAAGCACAGGAAGCTCTCTCTGACAACATATTGTGGAAGAGTAAAAATTATAATTTAATCTCCTAGGTATTGAAATTGCTAAACAAAAAGGAGCAAGATATCGACTTGGCCCAGAACTGGAAATTTGGTAAGAACTTCCTAAGTTGTTTGTATCAGGCAGGAACCCCCAACCTTTTAGGGATGCTGAGTACATTTCAAATTTGGAAACTTTGTCTTACAAAACGGCAGTTGGGGGAGGTGCTTGCACATTCACAAAATGCCTATTGGGGGGACAGAATTAGATAAAAGAGCCAGTTGATTGAGATACTGCCTGCCATCCTTTGTAGCCCCCACCCCAAGATTCATTACCAACTTTTATTAACTTATCCTTTTTTTGGCCGTACAGGCACACCTCCAAATTTAGTACTGGGCTGCAGCTATGCATTTTTATTTATCTAAGAGAATTTTGGGGATCCAGAGGTATTTCTGGAAACTATGATGTTGTTAGAGGTTTGTATTTTGCTTTGCAGCATGCCTCTTTCCTTTTTTTTTTAATGAAAAATCAGGTGGCAGAAAAGGTGGTAGGCATCAAGGGGGGTATCTCTTTATGTGCAGGATATAATGTATATTCCTGGATATTTAAATTATATTTTATGCCATTCAAGGTAACAAAATCAATGCCTTCTTTTTATAGAGTGGTATCTGTTCTTGATGGTTCATTATAGTAGTTGGTATAGAGCATGGATATAGTATATAAATATTGGTAGAGAGCAGATGGATATAGTATATAAATATTCATCTTTTTTTGTGGGATCACAAAAGAAAAATTATATAAAAATTGCAGTTGTACTTTAAGATAATTAAATTATTAGCAATGAGGTCTTAATAAAAAATAACTTTGGTATGTATTCCAGATGTTGGTAGACTACAGGTAGTCCTTGCTTAATGACCACAATTGGGACTGGAAAATTTGTGGTTAAGTGGGGCTGTTGTTAAGCAAGGCATGCCTGATTTGACAACTTTTTTTGCAGCAGTCATTAAGCGAATCATGTGGTTGTTAAGCAAATCACATGGTTCCCCATTGATTTTGCTTGCTATAAGCTGTCTGGGAAGGTTGCAAATGGTGACCACATGACCCTGGGATGCTGCAACTGTCATAAGTGTGAGCTGGTTGCCAAGCACCCAGATTGTGATGGTTGTAAGTGTGAGGACCGGTTGTAAGTCCCTTTGTTCAGTACTGTTGTAACTTCGAACAGTCACTAAATGAATGGTTGTTAAGTGAGGACTACTTGTATAGATTCCATTATCTCAGGCCATGGATGAGTTACTGTATATTGCTGGCTGGGGAATTCTGGGAGTTGAAGTCCACACCTCTGAAAGCTGCCAAAGTTGAGTAACACTGGTCTAATACATCTGGAAGGTACCAGGTTAGGGAAGTCTGGCTTAAAAAGATGTAATACAAGGGCAGTTTTCCAAAGGGGTATAGATTTCAATGGTATCCAGATTAGCATCATTCTGGCCCCAGGTAAAGACCTTTCTATTTTCCCTGGCTTTTTTATTGGTTTAAAATTGTATTTTAACTGTATTTTAATTCATATTGTTTTAGATCTGCTGCTGCCTAGTTTGTGTGGTGTTTTCATTTAGCATTTCATTTTATTGTATATATTTTTTTATTCAAATTGTATTTTTAGTGTGTTTTCTTATAAACTGTCCAGAGAGCTTTGGCTATTACGTTGTTTAAAATTTTTAATAAATAAAAATATAATAGAAATACTAAGCCAACAACAACTTTTGTTTACACATTCCTAGTTTCTCTGACACATGAACATATTTAAGTATATAGACATATATGAATTAATTCAGTATTAACGTATATATACACAGTATGTATAAGATGAATAGAGATGCTTCTATTGATATAATGTGAATTTAGGAAATTCATCTTATGCAAATAGTCCAGAATTTTTTGTTATAATTTAACTAATTCAGATCTCTTATATTATTTTGTTATGCAGTGGTTATGGCTGTTCAGATCATTACTATGAATCCGACACACTCTTGCATTCATTTCAAGTTTTGGCTAAGCTTCTGGAATCTCCTGATACTCAGGACATAATATGCGATATTGGGATGTAAGTGTCTTATTACTTCATTGCATAGTGGGACTTTTAGTAGGAAAAACCAGCAATGTTAGCTTCAGATGAGGTTAGCTGGTCTGTAGCGAGATCAGCGGTGACAAATTTGAAATATAAATAAATAAAATAAAATGTGTTTTCTTTATGAGATGAATATTTTAAATATTATTTTTGTTCCAATTTATTTTAAGGGTACACTGTTAAAAATGTCACATCAGGTGGCGGTACCTAGTTGACCTTGGCTGTCCTCAAAAAATTTAAGCAGGGTAAGCCCTGGTAGTACTTTGATGGGAGATAACCAGGAAATTCCAGGACTGTATGTTGGACAGGAAAGTTAAAAAAAAAACCATGGAAGAAGGCTGTGGCAAACCTCTATTGCTGCCAAAATATTGCTGTCCTGAGTCCATCTCAGTTTGAAAGAATCTTTACTTTAACATATGAAAAGGAAGATAGTAATCTTTGTAACCAAAGTCCAAGCTTTTGATAAAATGTTGTAAGATACCTTATCATAGAATCAGAAGAGTCGTGTGTATTGAGACTAAAACTATTTGTGTTTGCAGGGTTAAGTTGCCGAGGTAGGTTGTTTGAAGGTCATAGTCTGTACTGATTGACACGAAATAATTCCTTCCGTCATAAGTTCCTATGTGTTGAGCTATTATTATGGTGTTTCTGCACATAGGTCCACAAATGTTGTTGATGTTGATCTGCCAATTCATTTGATGTGATTGTTGTGCTCTTGATGCCTTCCTTTTCCATCCAGTTCTTTGACAGGCACAGAGGAGATAGGCAGGGAGGTATATTTTTTTCCTCCTCTTATGTCATGTCAGTCTTTATAAAATGAGACACTAATTTTGTCCTTTGTCAGAATCACTCAACATCCCCCAGACTTTGGTACAATCAAAAACAGTGAGAATCTTTCTTTTTCCCAGCTCAGTGTTAAATGAAATAATGAGCCCACTTTTCTAGAGGATATGGAGGTTTGGACTTGGAGAAAAAAAAAATCAGTCTAGGAAGAAAAAATTAGATGCTTCTCTTTGTCATAGATTTTAGGAAATTATCTGGTTCAGGTTTATGGAAATTGGGAGGAAAATGATAGAAAATTGTTTTGTTTCCTTCAAAGTGATAAAACATGTTTGTTGTAAACTCTGAAGTAAAAAACAGCTGAAAATGTTGAATAAGAAATTAACTATTTGTAGTTAATGAATAGTGATTTGAAGATAAAATGGTTATATTAAATGGAAAAAGATCCAAGTAGTTTCACAAAGAAGCCAAAGTTACCTGCGTTTTCAATAATAAGGAAACCAGACCTTTAAGTAGGTAAGAATGCTGAAATAAATGATAACGTCTGAATGTCTATGAACGTCCATGAAAAAAAGAGGTGTTATAGCATGTGAAGGAATGTTCAAACAGAATTAATAATCTTAACTTGGGGATCTGTTTTTAAAATAACAGGCATTGTAAACAAATCATTTGTAAAACTAAGTTTTTATATTTCAGGAATATTTTTATAAGAGCTGAAGTAGTAAAAATTTCTATTTTCAAAGTAGTAACCATTGAAAAAAGGAAATATAAATTATTACAAACAAGAAATTTAGGTTTGAAAAAGTCTGTATAAGTACAATTCAGATTTATTGGGTTCAGTTTCTGTTTTAAAAAATGCATGTTCCTTTTTGTAGATTGGCAAAAAACTACCATTAGTTTATTATCATATGCCACAATAAGCTGTGCTTTATGTGGGTTTTAATGGTGTATAGACTATATTATGCTGATCTGTTCCTTAGCTGTATGGTGGTAAAATGACATATTTTGTGTATTTTATCTATTTGCACACTTACATGCCATTTCCAATGGCTCTGGACAGTTTACAAAAATATAATAATAAATCATGAAACCCATATCACAAAATACATAAAACTGTGTGAAATGGGTGAAAAATGTGTTTTGAGCTGTAGCTTAATTGTAAAAAGGAAGGAGCATGTTTTAGCTCCAGTAGCAATTTGTTACACAGTAGGTTCTACCATGGAAAAAATGAGTTTTGTGCCAAGGCATAAAGACAAGAACAGTAACCAATAGAAGAGAATATGTGTAGCTCAGGGTTGAACTGTGGAGTCCTTGGGGTTCTGTGAGCTTGGTTGTTTTCTTGCAGACGTTTTGTTACCTGGCTGGGTAACATCTTCAGTGCTAGGATGGAGTGGAATTTGCTCTCTGCTTATATACGGTGGCTTGCCCTGCCTGTGTTGGTGGTGGTGGTGGTTGGTTTTTTTTTTTCCTAGTAGTTCCTTGATTATTTACTGCTTGATTGTGTGTCTGGTGATAATCTTGGTATTAATCTCTGCTTATCTGGGTGATGACTGCTGGTGAGGAGATGTTCTGATCTTTTGTTTCCTTTTTATTGTCTCTTTTGAATAGTGTGCAGATGCTGTTTGTCTCTCTGTGCCTACTGATGGCTACCTTGTCTGAATACCAAGCTTCCAGGAATTTGCTCGCATTTTTGGATTTAGCTTGGTCTAAGATGCTGACAGTTTCCCAGTTGAAACTATCGTTATGTCTGTCCATGTGTTGTGAGATTAGGGAGTTTTAATCATGTCTTCTGACTTCTAGTTGGTGTTCATGGATGTGCTCTACTAGCCTTCTGCCTGTCTGTCCTACATAGTGGTTGTTACAGTGCTTACATTGTATGTTGTAGATGACTCCTGTTTTTTTTTCTTAGGCTACTGGGTCTTTTGGTTTACTTAAGATGTTTTGCAGGGCTTTAATTGGTTTGTGTGCTACAGGGATGCCATGTGGTTGTAATAGTCTGTTGGTTGTTTCTGAGACATTTCTGATGTATGGCAGTGGT